AGATCGGACCATTCCTTCTGATACCTCCCCCACAAAGGGTCAAAGTTTTGAATAACCAAAAAGATTATAAAATCCGAAATAAGCTTCCAGTTCACCTCAAATATCACACATCTCATATATTTTTAGTAGCCTAAGGTCTGGTGCGAATTTTACCTAATTTTTTTAGTGGGTGTATATACCCTAACCCCTCTCCCCCCATTTTTTTTTTTTTTTTGTTAGTCAATTTCTCCCTAGACAACTTTAGTCCATCATTGTTCTCATCATCATCATCATCATGAGCCTTGTAAATATGACCAGAGTTCTTCAAGTTCTCATTCTTATCACCAATGGTCCTCCTCATACCACCCCTCTCCCCCCACCATCCAACCGTACATGTTCGTCACAGAGCCATAAAAAACCAAGACTAAATAAAAAACATGACTTGAAAATCTCTTAATCTTTTTACCAACCTTGTAAACACGCCAAAGAAGAATAAACCAAAAAATAACACACACCCGCACACAAAAAAGGACATTCCTGGCCACACCAACAACAATAACTTAAGAAAACTATGCAGCATATCCCTGGGCACACATGCCAAGAAAAGGCAACCCTTTTTGGCCCAGGCACATGAAACCATGACAATGTAGGAAAAAATCCTTTTGAATTGATATCCTTATAGACCCACAAGGGGGGTGGGGGATAACTTGCCAGGATTTTTCTGCTAAATCACCCAAATAAAAAATAACCCCAGAAAAAGGATATGCTTTCTCCACTCCTTGCTCGGCTGACTATCATTTTTGTCTCAATTCAATCAAAATTGTTTGGCTCATCAAACATTCAATTACTAACCATAAATTTTGTGGCATAATATCTTGAAGCCAACAAAGGATATTGTGTATAGGAAAGAGAGAGAGGGAGAGGGAGGGAGTGCGTGTGTTTGCCAAATGTCCAACCCTCTTGTTCCGATGCTTAATAAAATTGTTGCAAATTGTGTTGTTTAACAATCATATTTTTACTTGTTATTAAGTGCCGTTTGGCACCCCTTAACGACAACCCTTCCACCCCTCCCCTCTCCACTCGCCAGGCACAATGACAAAAGGATATCGATATTGCAAATTGTTAACAATTCAATTATATTAGTTTGATGTTGTCTCGACAATCCTGGCAAAAATATATGAGTGTTGATTGTGGGTTATGCTTTGGGGATTTTCCAGCAAAGGATGTAGGAACAACAACAACAACCCCTTAAGTTGTTGCAAGGATTACGCTTGGCATGATTTCATCAATATTGTTTGAAATTGTACCCTTTTTTGGGATAGTTACTTCATATTTTCTTCTCTAAAAATATTATTTTTGCCGAAGTATCTGCCTTATCATTCTAGGAGGGGTGGAGGAGGGGTTTCATGTTCATTGGCAGACTTTTTATGACTGGCTTTTTTTCTGTGTGGATCTCTATTTTGTTATTGCTTTCTTTTGTGCAAATCACTTGACCAATTTGTCAAATTGTTATCTTAATTTGGCAACGGGCCTTTCGGAGGCAAAGGGTTGCTGGCAATCATAATTTGTGAGCAAATATTAGCTGTAGTTTTGGCTTTCTAGACAAGAGAAGAGGGGTAGAGGGGAGAGGAAAAAATTTTGTTTTTTTCAGGAAATTTAAGAAAATTATCCGATTTACATGGAAGAAGGATAATCCAATAGGAGAGCATATGTGGTAATGGTATTTGCAAGGAGCTATTAGGAAGTCTGACAATTTAGACCTTCTGGCCGATGATGTCAAACACTCTTCGCGGCAGAAGCTTCTTTGGTAATGGCAATAGCAACTCCTCCATGGTAGATGCCATTGAGGCCAAAAATTTTTTAATAATGAGTTCTAGGGGAAAATGCATATGCAGTGGCCTCTGTCATCCGCAGAGTAAGGCTGCGTCAAAATATCATCCGCAGATGTCCCCATTGAGAGGCTAACTATATTATGTATGATATCTCTAAGTTCGGTAGAGACTACATACATTACGGCGGAGGCCTCTGAATCCAAGGTATTTTTTTTACAATAAACAAGTAAAAAAGCGACCGGGCCGAATTTTGAATACCCTCCGCCGTTTGGTACAAATTCTGTTAAAATCTTAAAAATACCGAATGTAGCCGTAGGGAACTTCTGTCACAAGCTCTAACAATATTCAAATGCGAAACTTGAAAAAAATCTGTTTATAATGTAGCTAAGATCATCAAAATACCGAATATAGGGAGGTACCATGGAGGTTGTAATACGTGGACCTGCAGAGACAATTTTCTGTCATAGGTTGTAATATCCATTACGAACTTCAAGTACCAAATTTGAAACAATTCCGGTTAATAATGCCGTCAAAATCATCAAAATACTGAAAATCGGGAGGTACCGTTATATGGGAGCTATACAAAGACGTGGACCTACACAAAACATTTTTTGTCATAGGCTGTAGTATCCATTACGAACTCCATATACAAAATTTGAAACAATTCCGGTGAATAATGTCACTAAAACCATCAAAATACCGAATATAGGGAGGTACCATGGAGGTTGTAATGCGTGGACCTGCAGAGACAATTTTCTGGCATAGGCTGTAGTATCCATTACGAACTTCAAATACAAAATATTTGAAATAGTTCCGGTAAATAATGTCACTAAAATCATCAAAATACCGAATATCGGGAGGTACTGTTATATGGGGGCTATACGAAGACGTAGACCTGCACAGACAATTTTCTGTCATAGTCTGTAATACTCATTACGAACTTCAAATACCAAATTTGAAATAATTCCGGTAAATAATGTCGCTAAAATCATCCAAATACCGAATATCGGGAGGTACCGTTACATGGGGGCTATACGAAGACGTGGACCTGCACAGACAATTTTTTGTCACAGGCTTTAGTATCCATTTCAAACTTCAAATATCAAATTTGAAACAATTCCGGTAAATAATGTCGCTAAAATCGTCAAAATACCGAAAATCGGGAGGTACCGTTATATGGAAGCTATACAAAGACGTAAACCTACACAGACAATTTTCTGTCATAGGCTGTAGTATCCATTACAAACTTCAAATACCAAATTTGAAACAATTCCGGTGAATAATGTCGCTAAAATCATCAAAATACCGAGTATAGGGAGGTACTGATATATGGGGCCTATACGAAGACATGGACCTGCAGAGAAAATTTTCTGTCTTAGGCTGTAGTATCTATTACGAACTTCAAATATCAAATTTGAAACAATTCTGGTGAATGATGTTGCTAAAATCATCAAAATACCGAGTATAGGGAGGTACTGATATATGGGAGCTATGCGAAGACGTGAACCTGCACAGACAATTTTCTGTCATAGGCTGTAGTATCCAGTACGAAGTTCAAATACCAATTTTGAAACAATTCCGGTAAATAATGTCACTAAAATCGTCCAAATACCGAATATCGGGGTGTACCCTTATATGGGGGCTATACGAAGACGTGGACCTGCACAGACAATTTTCTGTCATAAGCTCTGGTATCCAGTACGAAGTTCAAATGCGAAATTTGAAACAATTCCGATGATTAATGTCGCTAAAATCATCAAAATACCGAATATTGGGGGGTACCCTTATATGTGGGCTATACGAAGACGTAGACCTGCACAGACAATTTTCTGTCATAAGCTGTAGTATCCAGTTCGAAGTTCAAATGCGAAATTTGAAATAATTCCGGTGAATAATGAAGCTAAAATCATCAAAATACCGAATATCGGGAGGTACCTTTATATGGGAGCTATATGAAGACGTAGACCTACACAGACGATTTTCTGTCACAGGCTGTAATATTCATTACGAACTTCAAATACCAAATTTGAAACAATTCCGTTGTATATTGTCGCTAAAATTATCAAAATACCGAATATAGGGAGGTTCTGTTATATGGGCGCTATACGAAGACGTAGACCTACACAGACAATTTTCTATCTTAGGCTGTAGTATCCATTTCGAACTTTAAATACCAAATTTGAAATAATTCCGGTAAATATTGTTGCTAAAGTCATCAAAATACCGAAAATCGGGAGGTGCCGTTATATGGGAGCTATACGAAGACGTTGATCTACATGGCCTATTTTCTGTTTTATGCTGTAGCATCTATTACAAACTTCAAATACCAAATTTGAAACAATTCCGGTAAATAACGTCGTTAAAATCATCAAAATACCGAAAATCGGGAGGTACCGTTATATGGGGACTATACGAAGACCTGGACCTGCACAGACAATTTTCTGTCATAGGCTATAGTATCCATTTCGAACTTCAAATACCAATTTTGAAACAATTCCGCTAAATAATGTCGCTAAAATCATCAAAATACCGAAAATCGGGAGGTACCGTTATATGGGGGCTATATGAAAACGTGAACCTACATGGCCCATTTACGAACTTATCCAGCCTACTGGCAAAATAAAAATGTCTGCAAAATTTTAGCCTTCTATCTCGATTCGTTCGAAAGATAGCGTGATTACGACAGACAGATAGATGGACACACAGACGGACAGACAGACAGGTAGACAGACGGACATCGCTAAATCGACTTAGAATTTTACGCTGATCAAGAATATATATACTTTGTTGGGTCTGACATGAGTATTTCGAGGAGTTACAAACGGAATGACAAAGTTAATATATCCTCCATAGTATGGTGGAGGGTATAAAAACGAACGCATTTTTTTTTTGGATTGTTTACAAGTCAACACAATTTGCTTTTACTTATAAACTTGTTGTTGTTGCGGGATAGTTTTTTCTGCCAAACATAACCACACCTGCCCAAATATTACAAAAAAATGCCAATAAAGTTCCGCTAAACATCTGTCGTTTAGGTAATGGAAAATAACTTGTTTTGGTTCTCACACCAAAATTCAATCTAATTTCAAAACCCCGGAAGGAGAAATTTCTAACATCAAAATAATTGGATTTTCTATAAAAACCAAGAATCTGCTCATTTCTATAGTTAGTTGTCCATTGCTCGGAATCATGAGGTACTTGGCATTGGTTTTCTTTAGCGCTTGCATTGCCTTGGCAAGCTGTGGCTGTTTGGGTGGATGTGCAAATTCTGCACCAATTATTGTAATCACTCCCTCGTCGAATATATGGCAGAGCATACAAGGGTGGTTCCAGTGCGCATGGAATGGATGTCCGAAACCAAATTGTCCTGGCACAGGAGAAACGGGTCTAGAACCACCGGCTCCAGAACCCACTAATCCCTCGCCTCCCACTTACCCAACCTCTGGTCCTCTACCACCAGCACCTACAACAGCCACATATTTACCAACAACGTCTACACCAGGTTGGGCAACTCCACCCGGCCCAACGCCACCCACATATGGATCAGCACCCGGAGTCCCAGAGCCAACCTACCCATCAGCGCCCACTTACCCAACTTCAGGCCCTCAGCCAACAGCACCTACAGCCGTTCCAGAACCCACCAACCCATCGGCACCCACTTACCCAACCTCAGGCCCTCAACCAACAGCACCTACAGCCGTCCCAGAACCCACTTTCCCAACTTCAGGTCCCTCACCAGGCCCAACAACACCCACACAAGGATCAGCACCGGGAGTACCAGAACCAACCTACCCATCGGCACCCACCTACCCAACTTCAGGCCCTCAGCCAACAGCACCTACAGCCGTTCCAGAACCCACCTACCCATCGGCACCCACTTACCCAACTTCAGGCCCTCAGCCAACAGCACCCACACCAGTCCCAGAACCCACTTTCCCAACTTCAGGTCCTTCACCCGGCCCAACGGCGCCCACACATGGATCAGCACCGGGAGTACCAGAACCAACCTACCCATCGGTACCCACTTATCCAACTTCAGGCCCTCAGCCAACAGCACCCACATCAGTCCCAGAACCGACTTTCCCAACTTCAGGTTCTTCACCAGGCCCAACGGGACCCACGCATGGAACAGCACCTACAGGCGTCCCAGAACCCACCTACCCATCGGCACCCACTTACCCTCAGCCAACAGCACCCACATCAGTCCCAGAACCCACCTACCCAACTTCAGGTTCTTCACCAGGCCCAACGGGACCCACGCATGGAACAGCACCTACAGGCGTCCCAGAACCCACCTACCCATCGGCACCCACTTACCCTCAGCCAACAGCACCCACATCAGTCCCAGAACCGACTTTCCCAACTTCAGGTTCTTCACCAGGCCCAACGGGACCCACGCATGGAACAGCACCTACAGGCGTCCCAGAACCCACCTACCCATCGGCACCCACTTACCCTCAGCCAACAGCACCCACATCAGTCCCAGAACCCACCTACCCAACTTCAGGTTCTTCACCAGGCCCAACGGGACCCACGCATGGAACAGCACCTACAGGCGTCCCAGAACCCACCTACCCATCGGCACCCACTTACCCTCAGCCAACAGCACCCACATCAGTCCCAGAACCCACCTACCCAACTTCAGGTTCTTCACCAGGCCCAACGGGACCCACGCATGGAACAGCACCTACAGGCGTCCCAGAACCCACCTACCCATCAGCGCCCACATCGGGTTGGGCATCTTCACCGGGAACAACAGCACCCACATATTCACCAACATGGCCTACATCTCTGGGTTAGGTAACTTCAGCGGACTCATCAACAGCCACAGCCTGAGGTTCGATAATTTCCCAAGGCGTAACAATGGCTAAACACGCATCAACGTTCCAGAGTCCTACCACACCATCCAATGTCTAAAATGGCTAGAAATATACTTTAATTTTTTTCAAATATATTTCTGAAATTTTCAATTATTTTGGTATTTTTATACTTTTTGGGAACTAAAGAGAGAACATCTTATCTCCTGGTTAGGCAGGGTGCGTATATAATGAACTTGCCAGGGTTCAAATATAGACAGCTAGAATAGTCAGATTGCGAAAGAACCAGCCTGACTTACCAGGGCAAGTATATATACAATCAAGCTGGCTTGGGGCAGATAATGGGAGCCTGACAGCTTAGTTTCCGAATTTAGACAACCAGACGTACTGCACCTTTTTCAGATGTAATTCGAAACATTTTAATATTTTTTGGCAGCTAAGAGGTCAATTAGATGTCTTGCTTAGGCAGAGTGCCCATTTAGGGAATTGGTCAGGGTTCAGATATAGACCGGCAGAATGGTCAGGATGCGAAAGAGCCAGTCTGGCTTATTGGGGTATGGTTGCAGACAGTCTTGCCGGCATGGCTGCAGTTAGCGAAAGTCTGGCTGGTCTGGATCCGAATTTAGACAGCCGGACGTCCTACACTTTTTTATACCCTCAGCCATATGGCTCGGGAGGGTATATATCATTTGATGCGGTCAAAACGTGCCTAGTCGAAATAACGGTTTTAGACCCTAGATCTCTTTGGACCAAATCCGTTTCAGGACATTTGGAGTCGATCTAGCGATGTCTGTCCTTCCGTCTGACTGGCTAATGCGCACGATTACTCTCGAAGGGAGTATCCGATTTGGTCCAAACTTGGTACATCATAATATTTTTGTAAAACTTAGATCGAGTTCGGAGATGGACAATATCGGTCCACTCCTTCTGGTACCTCCCCCACAAAAGGTGGGAATTTTCAAAAAATATATTTTCTGCACAGAAAGAGAAAGGATAATCCGCTTTTGCTACAACTTTGCAAATCCAAATATTTATGTCAGTGCTACGTCAGGTGCGAAAATGGACAATATCGATCCACTCCATCAGGTACCTCCCCCACAAAGGGTCAAAATTTTGAATTATTACAACTCTTATAAAATGTGATGTATGGATCCGATTTTCTTCAAATTTCACACATCTCAATATTTATATTAACCCAAGGTCTGGTGTTAAGATGGACATTATCGGTCCACTCCTTCTAGTACCTCCCCCACAAAAGGTAGAAATTTTCCCAAAAATATATTTTCTGCACAGAAAGAGAACGGATAATCCGATTATGCTCCAACTTTGCATATCCAAATATTTGCGTCAGTACTACGTCAGGTGTAAAAATGGACCATATCGGTCCACTCCATCAGGTACCTCCCCCACAAAGGGTCAAAATTTTGAAAAATTACAACTCCTATAAAATGTGATATAAGTGTCCGATTATCTCAAAATTTCACACATCCCAATAATTTTATTAAACCAAGGTCAGGTGTTAAAATGGGCAATATCGGTCCACTCCTTCTGGTACCTGCCCCACAAAGGGTAAAAATTTTGAATATTCATGAAGCCCATAAGACCCGATATTAACATCCGATTCCATTCCAGACTTAGCACATCTCAATATTTCCATCAACACAAGATCTGTTAGGAAGATGGTAGAGGTCGGACCATTCCTTTTGGTACCTCCCCCACAAAGGGTCAAAGTTTCGAATAACCAAAACGTTTATACAATTCGAAATAAGCATCAGGTTCTCGTTATATTTCACGCGCGCCACTATTTCTAATAATTTTTTGTGAAAAAAAAAATAGTCCACTTATTTTCCAGTTGCTTCTAAGAAACCACCTGCAAATTGATATGACGTCATCAAATTTCTCCCCAACAGCTATAAAAATATTAAACATCTCGCAAATATGATTCAGTATTATTTTCGAATTTCTTCGAGTAGGCAGCATGAAGTCACAGCTGTTGGCAGGCGTTTTCTTAATTTGGAGCTGTTCAATGGCCTCGGCCTTAAGGCCAATTTATAATTCCGATGGAAAACATCATTATGTGCCCTGTACCAAGGAGGGTTGTAATCAATATGTGCCCAAGTGGGAGGTGAGGAAGGCGGTTCCTGGGGAGGTGACAACTTCTCAGCCAAAAACTAGCGTTCCGATTGGTAAAAACTGGGCCAAGGTGTTACCACCATTAGCTGCGTATCCAGTGGAAACCACAAGTCAAAAACCGGAGGTACAGGCCACAAAATCCTCAAAAAGGGATCGGGCGGCTTGGGAATTTTATAGACCCTATAGCCGTTATTTTTATCGTTAGAAAAAAATGTTTTGAGTGAATAAAATTTACAAAAACAACAAAAAGTGAAAATATTTTTATTAACCGAACCCAACTGAGGTCAGGTCAGGCCAAAGAAATATGAAATTAAATAAAAATACCAAAAAAAATCAAAAAATTTTTAATAGCTGAACCCAACACAGGTCAAGCCAGACAAATATTTCCCAAAACCCCCAACATCCGTATAGACGCCCATCCACACACTCCTGCCATTGCACTGCCCCTGTAATGCATGATTATTAAATTGACAATGCATTATTTATTGCCACCATCCGCCAAGGGACCTTAGGCCTCTTGGCCAACCACTACAAATGCATTTGCCATTTGAATTCATTATTTAATTGTTATTTTGTTTGGCCATAATATTTAACCTTTACTCTATTCGCAGAGTTATAAAATTAATTGACATTTTATTTGTTAATTAATTGTCCTCCGTTTACAATGAACACAAACATTATTTTGTGTCATTGCATTGTCATGTTATTGCTGTTGTTGTTGTAAATGTATTTTTGCCGGCCATAAATATTAGAAATTATTATTATTTTTTGGTTTTTTTTTCGGTAGGGCAATAATCTGCAATGGCTATAATAATGAGAAATTTATGTGAATTTAAACAAAAGCTAATTTTAATTTTTAAATAAATATTATTTTTATGGGTGAAATGGGAACAAACAATGAGGAATCCTGGCAGGAGGAGGAGGAGGAAGGGAGTGTTCAAATTGAGTGGAAATTATAACGGAATGTACCCTTTATTTTGGAGGACAAAAATGTTGTTAAAAAAACTCACAGAGAAAGCTTTCTAAGAATATTTTTTTTATAATTTTAAAAGTTTAAAAGTATTTTCTTAAAAAAAGTTATTTAAAAAAAATTTGTAGGGACTTATAAACATGGACATATATTTTCAGAAGATAATAAATAAACATGGACTTAGAATTTTTGAAATGCTTCTAAAAATATTTTTTTTAAGAACTAATATAAGCGAATTTAAAAAAATGCAGGGCCTTATAAACATGTACTTTTTTAAATTATTTTTATAAATTATATAATAATAATAATAATAATAATAATAATAATAATAATAATAATAATAATAATAATAATAATAATAATAATAATAATAATAATAATAATAATAATATAATAATAATAATAATAATAATAATAATAATAATAATAATAATAATAATAATAATAATAATAATAATAATAATAATAATAATAATACTAATAATAATAATAATAATAATAATAATAACTAATAATAATAATAATAATATAATAATAACAATAATAGTAATAATAATATACTAATAATATTAATAATAATTATAATAATAATAATAATAATATAATAATAATAATAATAATAATAATAATAATAATAATAATAATAATAATAATAATAATAATAATAATAATAATACTAAAATAATAAAACTAATAATAATAATAATAATAATAATAATGATAATAATAATAATAATAACAATATAACATAATAATATAATAATAATAGTAATAATAATAATAATAATAATAATTATAATAATAATAATAATAATAATAATAATAATAATAATAATAATCATAATAATAATAATAATAATAATAATAATAATAATAATAATAATAATAATAATAATAATAATAATAATAATAATAATAATGATAATAATAATAATAATAATAAATAATAATAATAATAATAATAATAATAATAATAATAATAATAAGAATATAATAATAATAATAATAATAATAATAATAATAATAATAATAATAATAATAATACTAATAACAAAAAACTTGAAGATTTTTGATTTGATTTTTTTTAAGAAATATAATTTTTTGAGATCCAATTACCACGACCAAAACGTGCCTTATCGAAATAATAGTTTCAGATCTTACGTCTCTTCAAAAAAAATCGTTTCCGAAAATTTGGAGACGAACTAAGGTTGGTCGATAACTCTCGAAGGATGTATCCGATTCGTCAAAACTTGGTACATATGGGTATAAAAACATTTCCATTCTATGGTGGAGGGTATAAAAATATTTCATTTTTTCAAAGACTAATATGAGTGAATTAAAAAAAAATATTTTGGAAAAACAAGAAAGATTAATTAAAATGCCTTTTTAATTATTTTTTTAACATTTAATATGTTATGGACATTTAACATAACATTTAATATGTTATATGGATATCTCAACAGCCATATATTTGCTAGGTCAACTTAACATGTATTTAAGTATTTAATTTTTTTCATAAACTAATATAAGTGTATTTAAAAAAGAAAAATATTTTGCAGAGACTTATAAACATGGACATTTAAAAATGTATTTTTTGAAATAATAAAAATATTTCTTAGATTTAGACCTGTTTTTTAAAGACTTGTTTTTTTTTAAAAATATAATTTTTTTAAGTAACAATGAATTCGGATTTAAAAAAAAAATATTTTTCAAAGTTCCAAAATTAAAAATAAAAAATATTAATTTTTTTAACATATTAAAATGGATATCTTATAAACCATATTTTTGCTAGGCCAACCAAACGTGTATTTAAAATTATTTTTTCACAGACTAATATAAGTGAATCAAAAAAAATATTTTGCAGGGACTTATAAACATGG